TTCGCGAACGGTTGGCAAGTGCATTCGCCGTCAAGCGAAATGCATATATCTTTCTCCTCTGTATACGCCAGAGGCTGAAGGAGGAGAAGAAAGGAGCGTACGTGCCGCCGCTCATGTAACCTCAAACGAGACATCCACCTGCCTCCGTCGTCGAAATTATTGCGGCTTTTTCGTCGCTCGAGGCGCGCCTCCGTTCCGGACGAATTGTAATATGCGAGAAAAGTGAATCGCGATGCTGTCACGAAGGTGGTTCAGCTGTTTCACGCGAGATACGATACTATGTAAAAATATAAGAGGGTATAATATTGCTGTTATTTCTTATCATTGTTTCTGCGATTAATGAGACGAGGGAAAAATCTGCGTTAATTTTTTCACGTTTAATGCCTTCGATCATTTTTCAAGATTTATTTATTTAATTGTTTAAGTGAAAACTATGTTTTTCTTACATTGTAATTTTATTTCGAGATTTATTTTGTTTTCAGATTTTTTTTCTGTCACACCTTTGCGATCGTTCGGTTTTTTTCTTTAACATTAACGTCAGCTTTTTTTGTTCGACTCTGATCGTTTCGCATTTAATTTTTTCATTGACGTAGGCTACAAGTACCCCACGGTATATTTTTCGCGGTAAAAACCGCAGAGAATGATATTTCGCCCTACGCAAACAGTTCGCTGACCCTTCTCTCTTGGTCTTTTCGTTTTTCTACCCTTTTTACACATCCAGACTATTATATTTATGTAGATATGTATGCGCCATAAAAGGGAGAAGGTGGTGGAAATGGGAAAACCGAGAAAGATTGTTTAAATTCTCTCTTTCTCATCTCTCTCTCTTCCTGCAAATCGCGAATCATAACTTCAAAGTTTTTACGATATTTCGCAATGTCAAACTTATGCCACACAATATCAAAAGCACACACAAATGTCGGAAAAAAAGAATGATAGTGTTAAAAAAATCTTGCACCTCTTTACTTCAATTATTTTTATAACTATATCGACTTGTATATTTTTGCACTTTATCTCCTCGGTTTTTCAATATTCAACCAATAAAAATCTTGTTTAAAAAATCTTGATGGCTATTAAATTATATTAAATGTCTGATAAGATATAAAAGTAATTAGTAAAAAAAACAATGAAACACAAAGTAATAGACATGTATAAAAATAATTAACAAAAGATACGAAAAGAAAAGCTTAAACAACCAAGCACATTCTGTATAAAGTCTTACTGCATCTAGGTTTACAAATACCTTTTGTTTGATAAGAACTCCATGATATCGTCCACGGTTCTGTAGCGGAGTAGCTTCAGGCTTTGTCGAATTTCTTTGAGAATAAGGAGCTTAACTCTCGCGGACGTATCCAGATTTTTCCGAGCTTTTTCTCTCTCTCGATGAGAAGCTGTACCCGCGGGTCATTCATGCCGCAACAAAGCGCATTGTGTCTCAATGGATCTTTAACGGTGCTCGCAAATGTCGGTTGCTTTGTGTCTAAATCGCATTCAAACAATACTCGTACACTCTCCGATTGAAACGATTAATGAATCGCAAACACAATCGACATATGCATTTGCGTGATTCTAGAAAAAGCATTATACGTTGGCTATACAGAGTATCCCAAAATTACCGGGCACTCTATTATAATAGGGAAATTTCTCAGGTTATTTGAAGACGATTTTTTCTCAGCAAAAGTGTCGAGGCACCAATAATTCTCGTGTCATAAGCGGTTGAAAATAAAGCATTTTTCTCAAACTAAATCATGTGGAAATAAAATATTAACACAATCATATTCTTCAATTAATTTCAGGTAGAGTTTACTTTAGCAGAATTTTAATTTCAGGCTTATTTACAAAGAGATACATCTAAAATGATGACATTTCTCGACATTTTTGCTAAGGAAAAATCATCTCTAAATAATCTTAGGAATCTCCCTATTAACAGAATGTTCGATAATTTTGGGACATTCTGTATATAATTTCACATATAATTGACATTTTGAATCGCTAATTCGAAATTTAATTTTGGAAAGTTTCTTTTTATTTCGAATAACGTGAGAAAATTAAGAAAAGGAGAAAAAGACGAAAAAACAATTTTGTTTAAAAGGCGCGACGAAGCGGCTGCCGCGAGGCGCAATTTTCGCGCGCTGAAACATAATCTCGCTAAAATACTCACATGTCGCACGCAACGAATTTCGAACGTGCGCGCTCGATGGTGTGCCAGTTAAGTGGATCAAAGCTCGATCGGACGTCCGCGCTCGATCGGAGTTGCTGCGAATCGCGCTTTCATCATCCATTCACGTCGCGAGCTCGCGCAGACTCATAAATACCGCACGACCGCGCGTGTGACGGCCGTGTGCGTTCTCCCGTGCAGACACCGTGACGTAAATACTTGCCTGCATTCTGCGATATATGTGTAGAGAATCGCGGAACCCGGCCGGTTCACCGGCGCGTGTATTTTTTACGCGAAGAGGAATCTGACGTTACCTCGCATTATCTTCACTCATCTCTTTTCCTCTTGATTTTTGTATTTATTTTTTTCATTCAAGATATTTTATTTATATATGCACTGAAACAAACGCAAAAGTATTTGTCATCATTTTTTCTATTTCTAATTTATTTTTCGAAGAAACCCTTGGAATCTTATCGCGAGAGAGTCATTTAATGCTCCGCTTTATAATATAGCATACGGGCTTTAGCGGTTTCACCTGCCTGCAAGCGTGGAGAGCGGGTTTATCGATTTCTCTTGCTCGCACGACGGCGAGCATTTTCATCGCCGTCGGTATCATCTTTCGCAATATAATGGTTGCATTACAGGCGCGTTATAATTACGGGCGTTTTACGACGCGCTTTCGCCGATACAGAACAACGCGCGCTTTACGAGTCATGTACGTGTCATAGTGTGTATATATATATATATATATATATATATATATGCATAGGATACGTTCGGGTGGCTGGTTCACACGTGGAGTACCACTCGACGACGACGGTGGGGGTGGCTGGTTGACTGACAGCCTGGCTGACTGGAGGCGGAGAGAGACTGGATGGATGAGGTTGCACCAGGTCAGGGCGGATGAGAAGTCCCTGACCTGGTCACCTATGTCTTTCTCTCTTTGTCCGCCTCTGTCTTTGTCTCCTTCTCTCGTTTACATTACCGCAAACTTCGTGGAAAGAGTTTCGGAGTTTACCGAAACACGTCAGTGTCTCCTGTTTTGCTTCTCGAGCAACAGCTTTAATCTTCTTTTCTTAATTTTCCATCGTCTTCTCTCTTTTCATACTTTAATACGAGTCTTATGATTCACGATGTATCTGAATCCTTAGACATTCTGAGAAAACAGAAAACTCCACATTGTAGCTTCCGATTAATGAACGAGGCAAGAATAATCTTGTTGATTTCGAAGGCCTTATTATCATAGGCTGGTTTAAAAGGAAAAATCAATAGTTGGAGAAATATTGTATATTTTTCTACGAAATAATTTTCATTATCTAAATTAACAATGAAAATAAAATTCTTTCCTCAATCACACGCGATCTCTCGATTACTTGTTCATATTTTTAATTTTCAGGAATTATAGTTACACTTTGAGAATTATATTAAATAATGGATCACATTTTTTACAAGGTTTTCTACCACGACGCATTACAATTTTATCACACTTTATCTATAACGCAAACTAGGAGTTATTACGAGACTCAAAGGTTAACAGGGCGATCAGTTCGTCGCGTCTCTATAATCAACGCTAACAATCGCTCCCTCTCTCTCTCTTTCTCCTTCAACGAGATCCCATTGTACTCTCGTCGTCGTCGTCGTCGTCGATGCTATTATGGTATTCTCCAAGAATTTCGCGCTGTACTGCCTTCCGAAATCCCGACTCGCGCGCATCCGCACGAAGAAGAGGGCGCGCGCCTTCATTACAAGGGCGCGATTGGCAAGCGCGAAAAAGTCTTCCGGTGCTAACAAGCGGGCGTGATTTATAGCGGCGCTCATTAATCACGTTAAGTTGCTCGCGCGAGATCTTTTTAAAACCGCGATTCGATCTCATTGTCCTTAACGGACAAAGACGAAACTACCGAGAGAGAGAGAGAGAACTCCAGAACACAGGCGGTTGTATTATTGCGCACGTACAACAACGTGATTCATATTAGCGCGCGCGAGCTATACGCTAAATTACCAGTCGAACACTGTGTGTCGTAAACTCCGGCAGCCGTCCGTTCCTCGGCGCATTAATTTTTGCCCGGGCAATCAGCGCGAGAACGTGCATATATACCGTGTGTTACATATATATATATATATATGTGTGTGTGTGTGTGTGTGTGTGTGTGTGTGTGTGGCGAAACACACGACGAGTCGCAGACTGCATCGGCGACTGCGGTTTCGATCGCTGCGTCGTCTCGCTGCTGATCTTTGTTTGATAAATGACGGGCGATTGCGAGCGGAGCTTGCCACCCCGTGTCATATGATTGATTCGTCGTGTATATATATATATATATATATATTTTGGATATATATATATATATATATATATATATATATATATATATATATATATATGTTACCACCCTTATGTCACCTCGACTGCTCTTTTCGTGTTCCATTTGGACGCGTTTTACCATTTAAGCGTGCGGCTTGTCACCGCGGACGAAATGAATTTCTCTCGGTGGAAGGTTTAAGCAGCAATTAGCAGCCCTGTGTGAGATTCGTTAACTTAATTGAGAACCTCCACGTGATCCTTTAATTAAAAATGCGGTAATTGGTAATATAACTCGCCGAAGAATCTGACGTTAAAATATGACTCGGCGAGAAATCTAGATTACGCGAGAATGCATTTAAAATTCTCGAGCGTTCGCGTTGGGTTAATTCGCACCGCGCACTTTTCCTCCTCATTTACATTCTTCTATTTTTTTAAATAAAAAAAAAAATAGAAGCGAATTAATTTGCTATATATTATTAAGTGGTATCAAACTTGTTGTAAAGTTTCTTACGAATAACGTGCCTTTGTCTTTGATTCCAGGCGGATCCCGATCCACAAATCCAGTCGAAACTGGGCAACTATCACCTGGTGAAGCATCTGCTGGACGAGCCTAAACGTCTGATCGGCATCGACGGTATCCCGCCTAGTCCGGCGCCTTCGCCGACGCCTTCCGCTCACAAGTCCTCCGCCGGCACCGGCAGGAATTATTCCCCGTCCGCGGGTCAGGAGTTTAAGAAACCCGGCGGACCCAGGGGCACTACCACCTCCTCGTCTTCCACGACGGTCGGCGGCTCGTCGTCGGCGACGAGCCACCAGCAACGGGGCGGCTTCGTCAAACCCGCTGACGGCAAACCGCCCTACGGCGGCCGAGGTGGCTATCCCGGTCAGCCGGTCAAGTACGGCGGCGGCAGTAACGATCATCGCAACCACGGCTTACTTCCGGCCAAGGGCCCGCCTCCGCCGCACGTCCCGCCCTCTCTAGCCGGAAGCAATGGCTCTTTGTCGGTCGGAGGCAATCCCGCCGGGAGTGCCGCCGCCGTCGTCGCTAGCAATTTCGGCAACGCCGGCCTCGCGAGCCGCACTCAATTCGCCGGCCGACTGAAGCTGATCGAGGTTAACGTGAGTATCGACTTTTCCTCTTTCTCTCTTGCTCTCGTTATTTTCGCGCGCGATGATTGTCAATAGTTCCCCCTGGTTTTATTCTCGATCGTTTCGAGCATCGCGATCTGTATGCGCGACCATCGTTCGTTTCCCTCCAGAGAGTGGACGATGTAATGGCCTTTTCGGAACGCTAACGGTTTCATCGCGTTTCTCTTATTCGAGCAGAGATTGTTTACGCGCGGAGCGTCTCGGAAATCGCGTGTTTCCTGTGGCACAGATATCGTGGAGATATAAAAGAGCGATAAAGCACAGATATTAATGTAATAATTGACGTGGAGAATCAAAGTTTTAATGTTCGGTAGGAATTGCGTTGTGTGAAAATTTATTACGCGAGAGATATCATGAAGAAAGGAAAGATCAAATGGGGCGGGAAATTATAACGAAAAAAGGCGAGTTTTTTAAATGTATCTTTTTATTTATTTTTAATAAAAATGTAATTAAACTTTTTCTCTTTTATAGGGCTGCTTTAAATAAAACATTTTGTTCCGATGTATATGCTAGTTTTATTATTTTTATTAATTTTGCCGAATGTGAGGATTTTAAAGGCTGATTATAACGAAAATAATTGCAAATATTGAATCGCGAATATAAAATATGTAAACGTAGAGTTTATACGAAATTTTTAGGATCAATTTTATCTGATATGTATATAAAAAAAAAAAAGCGAGAAGATCAATTTGAAACTTGAAAGCATTCCGTTATATAATAGTATCGAAAAATAATCAATTGCGCGACAATTTCCATAATTGATTCGTTCGGTATTAAAAAAAAGCTGCAGCACTCTAAGTAAGTAGTTTTAAATAATTATTTTAGATTCTTACGCTCTCTGCTTTACTTTGTCAGCTTCTCATAACACATGATAAAACAACTTATGTAAATTTTCGCAGAGTGCTTTTGAAATTAATTAATGAAGAAAATGTATGATTTTATTTAGAATAAAAATCTTTCCTCAATGGTCAATTATAATGAATTTATAATTAATTGTTGCGATGAAATGTATTAAAATGATAATTATTTTTATGTAACTTTTTATAGATTTACTTGAAAAGGGCTGCAATGACAGCCGAAACGTTGTATTCTAACTAATTATCTATAATAAATGATTGCCAGTTTGGTCGACTTTTACCATTGAGGAAAGATTTTTATTAATTATTACTGGCGAATCTTAAGGATTATTATCTATTTTATTTAGAATATTCATTTGCGAATTTCGGAATTTGTCGCTTTGATAGCGTCGATTTTCCATTTAATGCGCCATCAATAGATATATATATATATTAGCCGGCCTTTCGATAAGTAGTAGTGCGGCGGTGACGTCGCAACGATGCCAGACTCACAAAGTCTCTCGAACTACTTTAATAGCGTGTCTCGCCAGAGTTGCGATTATTTGTCACGTAAGAAGATTAAGAGCGAAGTTTCCGCGACAGTCGGCGCTATTGTCGCGCGTTACTAAACGAGACTCTGTCGAAATTAACAAGTTGCTAAGAATCATTATGCTATCGCTAATCTATCTACATATTGCTCTCTATGTAAGAAATTTTCTATAATATCACCGTTACTTTTATAATATTTTACTATTATATTATTCTATAATATTAGCAACATTGAATAAGTTAAAGATTTCTTATATTATTTGCGTACAAAAAAAATAAAAAGTAGCTTCGAAATTTTAATTAATGAATCGAGGAAATTATAGCAATTTATAGGATCGGCGAATAATTTTATTATAATAAAAGTAAATAATTCGTATATAATTAATTTATTCCGTATATCTTTTCGATTTTTTTTTCTTTTAATATAATGTCGGAATGTTATACCGAGAGCTATGTCTACACTGAAAAAATTATTGAATTAATAAATATTTTGATACTGTCTAATAAATAATTTATTTGAAACAAATAATTATGTATCTGTTTTGAAAAGGATTTTCTTATATCAAATAAATGATTTATCAGGCGTCAGTGTTGAAATAAATATTTCTTCGAATTCAATAAATTTTTTCAGTGCAAAAATTAACGCGCATTCTGAATTATTCGAAATCTTCAATTATCAATCACTCTTCGACATCTCGAGCGCTATTAATCATTTTCGCGTTCAAGCGAGTGAATCACGAGATGCTCCTTCCCTTTCCGACCGCAAATCGCGGGAGAAAGATCAAGCAGCTACGGCATTAATCACCGAGGAGCAATAATAAAGAGGTTATTATCTTCTCGTTCCCTACTTCATTTCATCTTCCTCCATATTGAATCTAAATCTGCACTCCGGTATCATCCGGCGAGGTATCAAACGAAACCAGTTGGCTCGACAGGCTCGTTGACAGAGAACGAATTGCTTTTCAATGGAAATCCTGAGGATGGGGTGGTCCAGATGAAGGGGGTAGCAAAGGGGGTAGAAAGGAAGAGGAAGTTTCGAGACGGCAGGTCCTATTACGCGTGGCTCCTCGAGGTGCAAATTTCATTGAGATTGACTATCGATCGTATCTCCTTCTTCGACTATTCGCCCTTTCTCTTTCCGATCACACGTTGCCCATCGAGGAGACGATCAGAAACGTCTCTCCTTCCACGGGTGTACTTATACAATTAGAACCGGCTAGGTTCTGAGTGCGTCTCATCCCTTCTCTCTCTTTCACGTTCTTCTGGAAAATTGATTCCCGTTTGTCCAACGTAATCGTCCTCACTCTGTCTTGATCCGGCATTTCTTTTCTCTATCCATTTCTTTGACAATCGACGGTGAATCGTTTGCTGCCGAGTCGTTGGCCATTCGTCCTCATCCGCGAAATTGGTTCGGAATTACGCGTGAAGAAGGTAAAAGGGAAAGAAAGCGATGCGGTTGACAATGGAGGGGGTAAATTCGCAAGCCAAGTATATATATAGTTGGACGTTACACCGTTAATGAAAGCAATATATTCCGGATTTTCTCTCTGGTGGCACCTTTCCCCCAATTTCTTTCTTACCTACCATTGTCGTTTCTCATGCTGATTTTTTTTTTCTCTCGTGATATCGATATTTCCGTTATTATACGTATTTAAACAAATTAAACTTGATTGCTAGCTTAAATAAACATGACAAAATTAAAATTTGATTAAACAACCCCTATGTCGGTAGGTTGAAATAAGAATTTATTGGAATCCATAATTCGTGGGTTTATACAGCTACGCATATTATTTCTCTCTTTTTTTCCGTTTCTCCGACTTCCGCTCTCTCTCTGGTTTTTCCATTTTCCGCTTGTTCCTTTTCCGTGATTATCCAGTCTCGTCCGCCTCCGTTTTTCACCCCACGACGCGGTATCCTCCGGCTAAAAGTTACTAGACACTCTCTCAACCCTCGTATCCCATGCCTCCCCCACGCATTTCACTATTGTTCCCGCGTTTTCTTTCTGGGAATGACTACTCGCCGTTATTCGTAATACCACCCTTTAGGACGCGTCCTCCCACTCGTCTCTCACTCTCAGTCCGCACCCTTTTCAATGCCTTCTCCCCATTTCCGTCCCGACGTTGTTGATTAATGATCGCTCGAGGAGGCTCGTGATAAATCGCGGAGAAATCTCGCGAGAAGGGCGAATTCTCTTCTGTGCAAATTAGGGAAACGTGTACGAAACCTTTTGAATTTGCTCTTCGCGCGCGAGAAGCGGCTAGTTCGATCTATCTCGACCAAGTTAAATCGATTTTAATTTTTCAAAATTAAATTTGAGCAATAATTTTTCACATAATTTTATTTTCTAAACATTTTATTTATAATTTGTGCTAACTAGTATATTTTAATAAATAATGATAAAATAGAAATACAGATATATGAAATTACGTGACACAAAAGTAATATCTTTTTAATGTTTTTTTTTTTTTTTCCAGGGACCGCGATCGTCAATTGACAGCACAAATGTGGACAACATTCTCAAGGTAAGTTCTTTATAAAAAAAATCAAATCTTGCATATTTAGATAATTATTATAACAAGACATAAATATCTAGAAAATTAGTACATGATTAAATTTTTGTCTCGCATAAGACATAAAAAAATTAATGACGCACATAAGAGTATCGGAGTAATCGATGAAAAATCCTGTTAAATTTTGCGAAATAAAATATTGGGGCGAAAACATTTCCGGTCTTGCTCGGAACACTGATCGAGGAACAGCTCTATGTATGTGTGCAAACACTTCGATGGGGATAAACACAAGATCGGACGTTACGAGACGTAAGATCGCCAGGCTATCCAATGTCGAGTTCCCTTTCCCGACTCGATGGGGAGGTTCATGTTCGATCAATAAGTCAATCTTCTCGCCGATACAAGGCTATCTTGTATCGAATCGATTTACCATTCTTCGTTCACCTCCGGCGCGTCCGATCTACGACGGCGATATTATGTCACGCCTTCGTGAGATAAACGTTCTCGATTTCCCGTTAATCGAAACTCTACGAAGAAGGCGATGCGCGACTTTCTTTCGCGGGAAGCAGAGAATTGTTGCGATTTTTTTGGAAACGAAGATATAGATTTTATATTTATATACGCGAACGAATTTTTCCCGCGCTCTCGGGATAAGGAGAGTTTATATCCTCTTTTTACGGGGATTAAGTGGAGAAAGACGCGACGAGATTTCTCGATGAAAGTATCTTCGCGAGGAAAGATTGTGTTTGTCTTTTTTTTTTTTTTTTTTTTTTTTTTTTTTTAATCGATAGAACCCACGTTCGACTTTTGTCGATTTTCAACTAAAAGCATCGAGAGTCTTTCTCTCTCTCTCTCTCTCGGTACTCTTCGTTAATCTAGAAATTAAGAAAGGAGATTGCATTTATCTTACTTGCCGGTGATCTTTCCGCTTTTACTCGCAAAGTTTTTCTCTCCGCGCTTCTTGCAAAAGTTCTTTCGAGCGAAAAGTGCGATGAAAGCACCGTTATCGTTGTTCGCGGTTCACAGAGAGCGACCACTCTCGAATTTCTTTAAGTTTGTTATTAATTAGTGTTGATACGGCTAAAAACGTACTTGTCTGTTGTCTCGCTTAATTATTACTCGAGATTTTTAAATTACTAAAAATGTCAATTAAACATTTCAGTTGCGCGAATGAAATCTTTATGTTCGTATTGTCGATCGAAACTGCTTTACCGTCTTCTATGCGCTTCAATGGCTTGTTAATGGAAAATTTATTAAAGCATCTCCATGTGGATACTTTCCCAGGCAGCCTTGTCACATCCGTGAAAAGTTGCTTGACAGTATACAGATGGACGGTCTATAGTCATGATTATTTATTGCATTATTCTCGTCCACGAGATGCAACCGCTTATTCAAATGCCTCGAATATTAATCTAAAAAAAATTGCGCATAAAGTCTGCAAATCAAAATTTATCTATTATTATAATTCCTGTTCTATTTTTTAAAAATTATATATTTATTTATTAATTTCAATTTTGATATGCTTAATATGCTAATACAATATTTAAAAATAGTAGATAAAATAATGTTTTTTTTTTTAATGGTTCTTTAATTTTTTTGGTTTTAATCGTAAAGCAAAAAACCAATGTTACTCGCACTCAAATGATACGATTATGACAATCGCCTCACGCGAGATCATAAATACTTTTCTAAACGCCCGACGGCAAAAACGGCAGTCGCGCGGAAAGCAGCACGGCTGTTTACGCGCTGTGAGAAACGGAATTACGGTGGTAAAGAACGCGTCTTCTCTCGCCGAGAGAGAGCTCCGGACAATGGGAATGCGCATCTTCCTCGCTTGTTGCCGCATCGTGGAAAGTACTCGTGTACGTACTCATTCGCGATACTATCGACGGGGTGAGACACGCGAACTTGGATTACTTCCTCGAAGTAGGAAGGAGTCGAGAGGAAAGGAGGATGAGAAAGACTCTTTAAACCGCGCGAATTTTCCAAATAACTGATGATCCCTGAAGATTAGAATTTCAGATGCAGTCAATTATTTTATTTAGAATTTTTGCGAATTTTATTATTTGAATTACTGCTTGACATTTAATTATATATGTATGTTAAAAAAATGATTAAATTAATAAATATTTCAATACTGCTTTATAAATAATTTATCGGAAACAAATAAATATTTTTAGTTTCAAATAAATGATTTATTAGGCAGTATTAAAATAAATATTTATTGAAATATAAATAAAATAATTTTTTTAGTGTATACCTAATAGCATTTAAAGTTTTGAAAAGCTTTAAAAACATTGAAACATTTAATCACACATTTTATTCTCCGTGAAACGTGCAGCGAATAATAATATTACAGAAGCGCACATTGCAGAATCGCGGATTATAAAATGATAGGCGCATATACCTTAGATCAATGAATACGGCCGGCCGAGTAGATTATCCGGGATAAGTAATTACGGTCGTAAATGCAATTCAGCGGCGGAAGGGTAAACGTTTCAGAACGACACGTGAATTTATGGCGCCATTCGCGCATGGCGCAGCACGTGCGCGCGCGCGAGAGGAGACGAGAGACACCCACGTTTTACGTGAAATTTCCACGAGTGTGAAAACGGGTGAACGAGAGAGGACAAGAGTAGAGCGACGAGTCCTCTCCGACATTCTCTCGGCGTGTCCGACGCCGTAATGATTTACGTCGCCGCGTTGCCGGCGGACTGTCATGTCATTTTTCCAACGACACGTGACATTGTCCTCGAGCCAAAAGTAGTCAGGCCGCGCGGATCCTAATCCTTTGATCACCGACGAATCCTACGGGTAATTCTCGACGTTCCTCTCTCTCTCTCTCGATTCAACGTTCGAGTATATAACGGGATTTTAGCAGTCTACTGCGTTACTACTACTGGGGGTTGCTGGAGGATCAGCGAAACGAGTTAGGGGTCGATGGGATCGTATGCTAATTTATGGATATGGTTTAATGGCGATTACGGGCTCCGATAACACCGAACCCCAGCAGCAGTCGTAACGTTGTGACAGTATCAATTCCGCTGCCGCGTCGCCAGATTGACGTCGCTCCGACACCTTGCTTCGCTCATGATTAATACTTTCGTTTTACACGGTTCGCGTGAAACCACGCGGTAGTCGGATTTTCTCCCCCGAATTATAGTCCCTGAAATTATTCGACAGGCAAGTCTCCTCATGGTTTTCCAGTTGACTTCTTCAACCTCAAATACTTCAGTACTGTATGATAATTTTGCAGCAACAAAGATCTTTTTCTGCTTTAAATGAATCCTCTATACCGATAATATCCTACATCAAGATATAATGCAAAATTCACTAGTCGCGAAAAAGAGTGTAATGGCAACATTGACATTTACGAGCACAATGCAAAGGAGCGAATAAGAGAGGCACCGAGCGATATTAGTAATTCTTTTAAAGAGAAAGAGAGTGACCGCATTACTAAAAAGAAGCTGCTACTGTGCATCCTCTTCCTTGCTCCCTCATTTGTTTAACGAGGCAGGCTCGTATACAGCGAGGTGCCTCGCCCTCGGGGCTTTTCCACTTTCAGCACAAATTTATGACGATGCTGCCTATACATATACCGCGAGTAGTGGCCGGTACAGTTTTGCCTCTGAAATCCCTTCCTTCTCGTCTGGCTTCTCTCTCGTTCCCTCTCGGCGTTTGGTGCAGGAGCACCGTCAGAAGCCCATGAATTATTCTCACGGGCTCTGCCCGTGGGAAAATACGAGAGTTGCGCCAGTAGGCATCGTAAATGCGACTGCTAATTGCGCTCGCCGACGACGACGACGACGACGACGAGCCGACTCTCTGGCCGACTAGCTTCGCTGAATATCGCATTCTTTCACGACTCGCCCCTCCTCGGCGTTATTTCGGACGGTTTTGTCTTGCTTAGATTCGGAGCACACCCTCTTCTGTGCGTGCTTTTGTTTACGTAATTTTTATTTTTTTTTTATTTGATTTTTTTATTCACATTTTGGACACGCGAAAGAGGAGAGCCGTTAACAGTCTAAATCCATGAATCCTGGGAAATTTTTTCCGAATTATATTTGCATTTAAACACGTTCTCGATTATTGTGGAGAGAGAGATGGGTTTTAACTGGGATGAAGCCAAAATGCGTCCCGCGTATTACGATATCTAGGAGATTGCTCGGGATTTTGATATTCAATTTTAAACCATGTATGGAAACGAATTCCCGCGTTTGGCTGGCCGCCAATTTCCAAGGCTCTTAAAACCATTAGGTGTCAATTGCTCTCGTTAATAGTCGTCTATTTTCCATCGGACCGCGGCCCAATAGGCGAAATCTTGATGCGGACCCCTAATGTAGGCGATTTATCGGCGCGGCGCGAAAAGCCGTGACCCAGATGGTGAGACGCGGTTATACGTATCTAGTGACATTGAATTAATAATCGCGTGCTTTCGCGTGTGATCGAGTCGCTCGTACGCGGAAAGGTCGGACGAATGCATTTTTTAAGGGACTTTGCGACACTTTTTGTCGTGCAACGTACGTCTGAATGTTTTCCCTTCGACTGTCATCGCTACGTGACCGGGACGTCGAATCGATGGTGGTTTAACCGTCGCAGTTTGTAACGAGTCAGTTATCGTGAACGCGAGAATGTCAATCGGGGGAAACTATATACGTATACGTTGATTACGTGCATTGATCGGTGACAATCGTGCGATAAATTACATTCGCAGAGAACCTCGCGCGGGAATGAAACAATGACGAGGCTGCATCTTTAATCCGATTCGTAAAACACGCGCACCGTGAATTTAGGTCGAATGTTAACGAGGTCAATTCATTGTCGATTCTGCTAATTTAGGAACTTTTGTCAAAGCCACGCGTTCAAAGCGGGAATTAAATTCGATATAATTACAGTCTATGCTTAATTAATATTGTGTGGGTACATATGAATATTTTTGTTTTAATGATTACATATAGATATTTTTTATTATTATTATTTTTTTTTTAATATAAAGATGATTAAGAATTTCC